TAGGTTTAGGGTTTAGATGAAAAAGGTAATGTAATATGCCCGAGTCTAGAGGGTGGAGGGGAACGAGTTTAACTCCCGTATCCAGCTCCCTAAAATTTATATAAAAACTGACATTCCTAGTCCCTCCCTCTCTCTATGTTTTCAATCTAAGCCTAATATTTACCAAATGTCCCCTGTCTTCTGAAATCTTTACAATTCAGCTCCATATGTTACCCCTTTTGCCCCTGCTCCCAATAATCTATTCAATACCAGTCCGATTGATTTAATTCAGACTGTAGATTCCCAAACTTATAGCGTTTAGCTCTCAAGACTAACACTAATGAAATTATTATGGCTTTAGGGCTTCGATGAAATAATATATATATATATATATATATATATATATATATATATATATATATAATACATATCGGGATTTTAGGGCTTATTTATTTATTTATTTATTTTATTGCATTTTATCTTTAAACGGAATGTTACATCTTAAGTCATAAAGTTCCTGACTTTATGAATTTGCATGGCTTAATGGAGTCCAAACCAAAGCCCTAGATGTATATCTTCACCAAAGGACCACTAACTCATGCATGGAAGAGATGTACCCATCAAGATTCGATTTTTATGACTTAATGACCTCAAAAAAGACTAGAAATGAGGCTCAAAGGTTCAGGAGTAACTTCTTCTCACAAGATCCAATCCATGGGACCAAAACATGCTCAAACATAACCTAAAACTAGATCTACAATAAAGAGCCATAAAGTTTAAAGCTTTATACCTCCAAAAGCTTGCAAAGATAATAAAAGTGTTGGATCTCCAAGCTCTACCCACAACAATCCACAAAGATGAACTTCTCCTTCTTCCATAAGGCACCAAGAACAATTTAAAGGTCCAAAATCAAGCTCTAAAAGAGTAGGGTTTCGAAACTAGGGTTGGGGAGGATGGAGGCTGGAAATAAGAAGGGTTTCCAAGGGGTTAAGGTCTTTAAATAGGGTCCAAGACCCAAAAACTAGGGTTTGGGATTTGCATGAGTAGGCTCAACGTACATGCTATGTATGCCAAATTTACTCAAGGATGATCACATCACCTTTAATGATGTACATCCAACGTACATGCCATGTACGCCCAACGTACACACCAATTCCCATTCTCATCTTAACTTCCAACGGGCATAAGTTCTTCGCCCCAACTCTGTTTTCGATGATCTTTATATGCTCAAAAAGTTATTGAAGATATCCATAAACCTATCTCATTACTGTTGATTAAAACCATACCAAACTAAGATTCTTAATTCATGCAAGAAGCCCGAAACATCACTTCTTCCCATTTTACCCCTTTGACTCCAAAACACAAATCGAGGGCTTGGATCACATAACATATTTTACCCACATCCAATTGGGTCTAAACCATCCCCCCATCAAAGCCCAAAGCCTTATGATAATCGATCTTCAGATCACGACACTGAATTAAGAAACAACCTGAAACATGGTGTTACAATCATACTATGTGTTTTTAGCTTGTATTGCTACTTAGTTGTATATGTTTTCTACTTTATTGGTATTATATGTCTTTCACTTTCTTATTCTCATATAATTCTTAAAATCCTTACCATTGTTTGCCTTTATTTCTTTTTTATTTTCTTCTATTGTGGACTAAGGTTTTCGTGTGCAAATTAATCATCACCCAATATAGATTCGAGTTCATTTTCATCTTTCCTCTCTTATGTAAGAGGTCATCTTCGAAACTAGCCACACTACCTGAATGGTTTCCTACTTATTACCTTCCTCTCACCAAATTCTAACGAGATTGAGATAATGTTGTTGTTATGGGTGATATTTTCGTAACATTATTTTATTATGTCTAACATCTTGAACATGTACTAACATCTTGAATGACCCAAGATCTTGAACAAGCCAACATCTTGGGATTACGATCGTATTTTTTGTGTTAATCTATCTAGGACTAAAGACTTATCTCACAAGGCATGGACTAAGTCAACTAATCATGTGGTCAACAAGAATAGACATTGAGTCTCACCAAAAAACCGGGTCAAGCAAAAATCAAAGAACTTCCCAAGATTTTAGGAAAGTTTGTTATGTCTACATTGTATATAAAGACTAGTTCATCATTATATACTCACAATTCACACTCTCACTCTCACTTTCTCTATGGACATTCTTTACATTGTCACCTCCCGATGTTTTGTGTCGGAGACCCTAAAGGATTAGAGCTTTCCCCCTATATCTTTATGTCTTGGAGTCACTACAGACGAACCTCCATGACCGCAAGGGCTGAGTAGTACTAGAATTTGAACATGGATTAATAAGTTATCAACCATATCTTCCACATGTCTTACCAAGTCACCACAAACTTTTTTTGAGTATATTTGCATTAACACTCTTTCTTAAAACTTCTTTACAACAATGCATACTTTGGACACACGACATTCATCTTGAAACATACTCTACCGAATTATACACTTTTTGAGCACTTAAAAACATTTATGAACATTTCTTTATTGTTAGATAACCGTATTATTAACTTTGTCTCAATCACAAATATTGAATTTTGAACATTTTATTATTCAGAACCTCGATCATCAATATTTACAATTAATCACTGTCCAAACATCTTGGGCTAGCTCAAGGCTAGTCCTGATGATCTAAATATCCTCAAATGCTCTAGACGAGCCAGAAAAAAAAGTCTTTATCGATATTATAAGTCTTATATATATATATATATATATATATATATATATATATATATATATAGAGAGAGAGAGAGAGAGAGCTAGGTTCAGGTATTTAAAGTAATTATTGTGTTATTGTATGCACCAATCAGATTTTAGATAAATCAAATCATTTAATAAATAATATAAGGGTATTATAGTAATCTTATTATTAGTTAATTATGGTAAAATAGATATATAATTAGATATTAGCTGTATTCCTAGTAAATCGCAAGAAGCACAGATATATTTATAACATTCAATCGACATCAAGATTCAAAACCCTAAATTGAAGCCAGTATCATTTTTTCCTTCTTCACTTCTCAAATCCGATCGACACCTCCCAAAATCGCACCTCCTCTTCTTCGCGTCTCCTCCCTCCGGTCGACAGAAGCCAAATGATTGGAGCTCCCTTCTCTCTTCTCCAATCGATCGATGAAATTAACAGCTCCTTAATCATGTTGATTAATCGGACGTAATTGTCTCCCTTTTCCTCCTCTATTTCTGATTCGAATAGCACCACACTCTTCTATTTTTTTATTGGCAGAATTGATGAATGCTGGTGGTTTGGCGGAGGTTAATGGACTTATAAGGTTGGGTGTTTGGTGATGGTGGTGGCTGGAAAGTGGTATAAGGTGGTCCTGAGTGGTTCGGTGGTGGCAGTTTTCACGAGACAATGGGAGGAATAAGGGTGGTTTCGATTGGCTGCTGTGATTTGGGTTCTCACAGGTGGCTGTTTAAGGTAGATTCGTTGGTGATGAAGGTGGGATAAAGGAGGGAGAAGGGTGATGTTTTTTGGGAGTTTGAAGGCTGTTAACGGTGATGGGTAAGAAATCTGTAAAGTACAAAGTGAAGGTAGTTTGTCACTATTTTCATATCAAATTTACTTCTTCTTATATGATAAAAATGAATTTGTTTCTGTAGATGATTCAATGGATGATATTGGTGTCATTCCAATTCTTTTGGAATGGAATCACGAATTCCAATTCTGTTGGAATGGAATCATGAATTCTAATTCTGTTGGAATGGAGTATGAATATTTTCTCACTGATTTATGCATGTTCTACAATTCTTGGTTATTGGTTTTGGTGCAATTCACAAGTCCACATATTTTTCCAAAGAAATTTAGTTTTTTATTTTTCATTTGCTAATGCATTATTGGAATCTAAACTACAATTTGGTTTTGTTTTCACAGAAGTTGATGCTTGAAGAACGGACCACAAAATTGAAAGTGATTCCAAACAACATTATTCTTTTAGAATGTATTAGTGTCGTTGTTAGATTTTGATGTTTTCTTTCCCGTTTTGAAAGTTTTTTTAGTTTTATTCCTTAACAATAAATGTAATTCTTAACAATTGTTATCTGTATTCTATAAGAAATAATGTATTTTTCGTTTTTATTTTTCAATTGATTGTTCAAGAATTTGTTGTTCTACAAGAAGTTTTTAAAGTCATGATCAAGAAATAGGTTCAAGAATATTTTTATATTTATAGTTCAAAAATATTTTTATTTTTGAATATACTCATAAACATATTCTGTTAGAATCTACGAATTAAAAGAATTATAATTCGTAAAATCGGGTTTTTAAAATTAGTAGAATCTATAATCCCTTAAAATATGTAATTTTCTTTTATTAAATGTATATTAATTAACTAAAATACCATTGTAAGTAAATTAGATGATATTTTTCAATTATATTTAATTCAATAATATGTATTAATCACCTTCTTAAAATAAGTAAAATTGATTGGCCCACATTTATGTATACAATAACACAATAATTACTTTTAATAGAATAACCTAAGCCTATATATATATATATATATATATATATATATATATATATATATATATATATATATATATATATATATATATAATTGGGTCCAGAAAAAAGTTGGACTTTATGCAGCTGCTCATTTTGTTTCTCCTCAACGCGCCGATGACTCAAGATCTTAAGCATTTTTCCAAATCTTAAACATTAAATAATTTTTTTTTTTACAAAAATATCAAACCCCACTTACTAATTTAATTACAAAATTAGTTTATTAAAATTCGACCAAAACAGTTTTCATTGTATAAAATAATAAAGTACTATGAATCCCGCTAGATAATTTTGCAATAAGTATAATAGTATAAAATTCGTGATAATTTGGTAAAAAGAAAAATAGTTGCACTTTATTAAAAGCTTTCCCCAAATAGTTATGTTTACGATTTTCTCATTTTTATAACTTGCTCGATAATTAAGCAAAAATAAAAATAAAAATAAACGGAGAGAAAGATGCGGAGTACACACCAAGCGCACAATAACAATCCAACCTTCCTCAAACAAGTCATTTGTTTCCTCATTACTTCTTGTGCTGTTGGCAACATCCTCCCACAATTCCTGTTTCTTCGAACAACAACAACAACAACGCTGCTATCAGCAACATCAAACTCGCATTCAGAAGGTATTACTACCATCAATCATGAATCTGCTTTACGATTTAATAGATTCTCATTACTTTCTTTTCAGATTGCGATTGTGTTCTGCGTTTTAATCGATATATCAACTGTGCCGATGCCCACACCTATGTTTCTTGTATGATGTTTAATGTTCGTTTTTTTTTTGAAAATTTTATTCGTTATAAGTTCTAGCATCTCTTGATTATCTATAATGTCATTCGATTTATTATGTTTAAGACTTCGTAGTGATGCTTGGTCTTGTTTTAAGTTCGTCAGCGAATCAATTGCATATAACGATTTAATCGTTTCGGATTAGTTTCTTTTGAGATTTCGATTGTGTTCTTCGTTTCAAAAAGCGATGTATTAACTGTTCTGACGCTAATCTCTACGTTTCGATGATGTTTAATGTTCGTTTTGAGTTATTCGGATTGTAAACTCTTAATTATCTATAATTTTGAACTTTATATTTGTTATTGATTAAGATACAAAAGGTTCAATACATTATCTATAATGACATCTGATTGTGTTCTTCATTTAAATTGACATATGAACTATCCCAATACCTTCGCCTAAGTTCTGATCTTATGAATTTCGATTAATCATATAAAAAACTGACTTATGTTTGGAATTTGTTTCAAACAGATTCGAAGGACTACAATTTGGGACAGAAGACAAATCTTACACATCATGAAATACAAGAAAGGAAGTATCGTGGAGGTGTTTGTGAATGACAAATTTAGTCACCATTCATGGCGTTGTGCTAAGATATTTTCCAACAATGGAGACAATTATACTGTGAGTTATGATATCTACCCTGGTTTCACCAACAAAGAAGATGTGCAACAAATATCTCCAAAATCCATTCGACCTTGTCCCCCTCTATTAGAAACCCCAGAATCTTGGGTTCCTGGTGATGTAGTTGAAGTCTTTCACAATCTTTCATGGAAGATGGCAATTGTTTTGAATGCTTTGAATATGGAACAATTTGTTGTAAGATTAGTTGGATCTTCTCAAGAGCTCAAAGTAACCAAATCAGAACTCCGTGTGCCACAATCTTTTCAAAATGGTGAATGGATTGTTGTTGACAAGTTTAAGACATTAAACTCGAATTCTTGTAAAGTTGAAAGTGTCATGAGTTCTAGTGACAGTTGTAGCATTTATAGCTATAATGGATCTGATTGTTTTGAAGATATTGAAAGGCGTGATAGTGATGCAGAGTCCGTTTGTGAAATGGAATATGTTGATGATGATGATGGGTGTGTTTCATTGGAGGATGAAATCCATAGACTTGAGTTGAATGCATATCGATGCACAATGGAGGCATTACATGCATCGGGACCTTTAACATGGGAAAAAGAAACAATGGTAACAAATCTTCGTATGTTGCTTCATATATCAAATGATGAGCATTTGATTCAGATTAAAAACTTAATTTCTTCAGCTAGTAGTAATACTTGTAATAGATGACAACCAACCTGACTCTTTTCTTGGTAAAACTCAATTTTCCTTCACATAATTGTAAAAAGCATTTGTACATTTTTGCTTCTATTGTTATAATTAAAAGAACTTCTGGTTTTCGTTTTTGAACAGCATCTATGAATTATTGATGCTTGCCCTTTATTTTCCAGGGCCAAAGTAGTGGCTTGCTTGCTTGTACACCTTTTGCTTCTGCATCAGTAAGTTGATGTTGGACAAATGTGACACGTGCAGAATCAGTTGATGTTGGAAAAAGGTTTTACTTTAGGTAAAAATACAGTTTTTTTTTACTTGGCATTATTGTTATCTTTGCTTATTGGTACAGTGTTGTCTGTAATTACACATAAGACATGACAAGATAGAACATAACATAAATAGAACATGTTGTATGATGTTTGATATGTATAGGACTAGGAGAGACATTTTATTCCATCCATAAAGCCAAAAAAAAGAGTGAAATATAGAACATGGATTCGTCTGTGCAAAAGACATGAATGTCCTTATTCTCAAGATGATTCATGTTTGAGAAAGTAGGGTTACATTTGAGAAAATAGATAGAAAAAAAGAAAAGAAATGATGGCAGTTTTGTAAAACTTGGGATTTATGTGCACGTCTGATTTTGTAAACCGTATATAGTTGGTGTTTGCAAACTTGTACATGGATTTTGTTTTTCTTTGTAAATTGTTAAAGTTTATCAAAATCGATTTTATAATGTATAATTGTTGTTTATAAAATTTGGTAAAGAGACTATGTGATAGTTAATGATTAAATATTAGATAATCCTTTGTAATAAGACTTGTTCCAAGATAAAGCGTTTTTCCATAAACAAAAAAGGTATAAACAAAAAAGGTATGATAAAACTTGATTTTATCAAGGTTTTAAATAATGTAAGGCGTGACTTGACGGTAATGTCAAGCTTTAAGTTTTTCCGAGCCTTAGCGAGTCACGTCATTTGTAAGGCGTGACTTAAGGCGACAATTTTGTATATAATTAATATTTTTATATGTATTTTCAACTATTATTCTATTTTATACACATATATGAGTTAAAGCGGCGTTTTGGTAAAGCTTGGCGACACGCACAAGCCTTAGAGTCATGACAAACTTTTTAGAAGCTTGGGTTTAATAGATGAAAAGATTGGAGTTCAGAATTCAACCATAAAAGGAAAGATTATTATTTTGGCAACATTCAAGGGGAAATTGCTAGAAAAGTCTTAATATTTTCGAAAAAGTTTCATTTTAGTCCCAAAAAGAAATTGAACTAAAAAAGTCTCGATTATTTGATTTTAGACGATAATATGTCATTTCCTATTAAAAGGAAAAAAAAAGATTTTTTTGTTAACTTGAGCCAAAATGAAATAATCGAGACTTTAATGTTCAAAAAAAAAATTAAGGCCAAAGTGAAATTTTTCCGAAAATATTGGGACTTTTATGACAATTTCCCAACATTCAAGATATTAATTGAAATTAAAAAGTTTAAATCTAACATGATACCATCGTAACATTATATATACTATCAATTCCTAAAACCTTAGCTATATGATACTTTTTTCTCTTTCATCTTTTGCCACCCAACTTCTTCTTCTCAATCAAACGCATTCTTTTCTTCCTTCTTATCCCACTTTTCCCACCACCGCCTCTTCTACCCAATCAGATGTTGCACCGCCATGGACATCATTTATTATCTCTCCTGTGATTAGATCTATTCTCATTCTGAGGCTCCCTTTCTTGGATATCAGTCGATAACCCTGCTCTCCTTTCTTCTTCGCTCTGCTGCTTCATCTCGGCTTAGACCAACGCTAGATAACCTCCTTCTTTATGCCAATATCTATTGCTCATATATTTTTCCCTAAATTGAACATTATCTCAGTTGAACCACCGATCAACCTTATTAATCGGCTATGGTCTCTCGAATTAGGGCTTATGAAATCCAAGTACACACTTGAAATCGGCGTCCTGTCTTCGGCTCAGATATATCCCCAAAATCGTCCGGAATCGATTGTTCCCTCGCTGCCACCGCTTTACCAGACCCGCACCTCGCGACAGACGATGATCGGCACTCAGATTGTTTGCCTTAATTGCGCCATTTATGAGATGATAAAATTTTGTGTTTCTTTAGAAGCAAGTGGAGTTGATGGTAAGGATTGTGAAGAATCATCGTCACGAAGAAGAAGAGGATGACAAATATTTCATTTGAAGAACATCTGATGGCTCCTTACAGAAAAGTTTTTCTTTTCTCATAAACATATATGTATTTTTTATATCTAGATTTGTGTGTGCATAATTGAAATTGAACTTTCCAATTGAATGCACAGATGGAAGAAGGAACGATCAGAAGGCGAGCTCTCAAAAGTTCAATTTCTCATAAACCCCATTGCTTCTTGTCGGTGTACCAGATTTTGGAACACAACCACTAATTCTCACCTTATCCAGCCTCCAGCCTTGGGCTCTTTCATGAAAGGTATCTCCGCCTCCTGCATCAAATCACCCCCTTCATCGATCCATGTAATTTGTGTCATCTCTTCTCTCTTGCTTTCATTCCCGATCTAATCTTATGAGTAATCCGCTTTAGGTTTGTTTGATTAATTTCAGATTTCGATTGATTTTTCAGGATTTACCATTTGTATTTCATCAACACCTCATCGGGTTGAATTTACCAACTACTCGACATATTGTTCCAAAGAGTAATCATCTTTTTTACTTTTTGTTCTTTTTAGCTACTTTGACTTATGCGCATTCAACTATGATGTTTTGGTTATATCAGTTTGTATTTTTAGTTAATTTGATGTTGACAAAAATGTTTAAAAATGTTCTATTTATGCTTTGCCATGTCAGCAGGCACAAAGAGATCCAGAGAGTGATCTTACTCACGAGAATTATGAATTTGGTTATGATACATCGAGCCCTTCCGAGGGTAGTTTTGGAAAGTCCAATGGAAGAGCATGTGAAGAAGGACTTGAAAAGACATGATATGGATATGAGATCAATACTACAGATGCAATATCCAAGCTTGAAAGTAATGGACATGGGTTATCTTCGAATTATTCACTTGATGAATCTTCAATTTCTGATGTGAAATTACAACCTATCAACAACCTTATAGAAGGAAGCGGTGAAGTGAGTAGGAATTGGAAGAACTCAGAGGAAGAGGATTATTTGTGGGATGATGCGAGCTCAAGAAGAGTAAATCCCATTCTTACCTCGTCTAATAGTTCAAAGACAGATCCTAGATTGTATTTCGACTCTGAAAGACCGGTAAGTAAAAAAGACGGAATTGCTATTATTCTTTTTCTTACAAGCATTTACACTGAATTTTTTTTTCTTTGATCTACCATCTACAGAACAGCGGATACCTTCTGCTTCATTAAGGGCAAAAGAGTCATTTTTACTAGATGAAAATGTCCACGGATGATGAGAATTTATTAATTAATTGGTTAATAGTTTTTTTATTTCTTTCTTTCTGCAGGTCCATTTTCATAGATTACTTCACCTCCACAAAAGCACCCTTTCTACTGGCTTCTATTAAAAGCAAACTATTAACTAATTATGAAAATGGAGGTTTGCTTTTAAAATGGACCTGCAAACCTCCATTTTCATAATTAGAAACCCGGAATCTCTATTTTCAAGCAACAAAAATATTAGAAACCCAAAGTATGTGTTACTGTTGATAAAATGAATCTTCAACATGTTTCTTTTTTAGTAGTCTATTTTTTCCAGATTCGCTTTTTTTGGGTTCAACTTACTATGCAAAAGTTGGTATGGTCTTCTTTATTTAGAATAAGCTTCTTACTTCTATTATAGATCTCCATAATTAGAGATAGTAATTTAGGATGTTGTAAATGTTTGAATATATTGCAGGCTCCTGAAAGTGCAGTTTACTTCATTGAAGATGGGGAGAAGGTTCCTGTTGCTTGAAGCAACAACACGAATGAAGAAAGAAAAAAATATGTTTGTTCTTGTGGGTATAACTTTTTTTAAGCAATATTTGTACTTTTATACATTGTTTGATTTGGCCCACGAATGAAGTTTTAGATTTGAGAGTTGAAATGTGTTTTAAGGATTTGAAAAATCTTATTATATCTTGTAATCCATGGAATTCATTTGCCTTCTGTTCTTGGGCCAATAAGTATGGATAATCATTAGCCTTAAGGTAAATAATCGGTATCTTATTTTTTTCTTAGGAAGAGAAATGCAGGTGTGAAATTAGAAGAACTACCTGCTCTACAGTCTTCAGAAGCTTCTGATGAAGAACAGAAATTAGGGTTTGATGAAATATGATCAAACAGAATGAAAGAAAGAAGATGATGAAATAGACTAATTGATTAAATGATAACACAATCTAAAAGATTGCCCAGGGAATCTCCCTCTCTAAGCAGAAAGCTTAAGAGCCAATACAAAAGTATTACACTATCAAATTTCTAGACATCCCTCTACTGTGACCTTTCTCTCTATTTATTATAATCCTAGCCCACTTAGGTGAATTTCCTGTTTTGCCCTTTACTGGGCCTTCTAGACAAAACCTATAAAATTCTTGCTTAAATGGTATTTGGGTCCAACAATACTCATTTCCTATCAGCTTCTCACCATCATTTAAAACAAGAAATGGAAAAATGAATGGCAAACACTTGTAGGTGTTTCGAGAACAAGAAAACAAGCTACTGTTATGGTTTTTTTAAGTCTGTTTTTTATCAAAAATTTAAGCTGACCCTAAAATATAAAACTCGAAACAGGGAACATAATATATATGGTTAACACCCCCTTAAAAAATATATTATAATATGATATGTTGCAATAATAAGCAGAAAGGGTATGATGGTCTTTTTTGGAAATGAAAGGGAGAGAAACGCTTCTACGTTATTATAATGGGGACGCATGGATGTGATTCAGGATCTTTGATTTTAGTCAATGTTAGGGTTGATTCCATGGGAGGAGTTATTGATGGTGGAGTTGGAAATGCAACATCAATTAGCCTGCAGTCCACCTCGAGGACAGATCAACATCCTGACAAGTTTGTGACAAGGTTTATCTCTATCCTTTAATGAGACAATGGTTTTTTACTCATTTTCTGTAATATCATCATCATGATTGATAAACTTACTCTTATCAAATATTGATCTTATGAAAACTTTTTATTACTTACTTTTATTCCAAAATTGCCCCTGCATCAACTTCCTTACTCTTATGACAGTTTATGAATTTCCATCCTCCCTTATGTTGGTTGTGGGGCCATTTTGGTCATTTTAGTTTGTGGTGATTAAATTATTAAAAAAAAATTATTGATATGTAGCTTTCAATCTTCATTTTTACATGGATGTGCAAGGTTTATGTTATTTACAACATCACATAGATCAAGATCCCCCTTCTTCTAAGTATAGGTAAGTTGTTGAATTTCCATAATAGTAAAAAAATATTTACCATTGTTGCAGTATGTCTACAAAACTATACCTATTTTCATTCGTTTATTTAGGTTTTATTTAATAAAAAATCTGATTTATAATAAATTTCAAACATTTTTCACAGTTCTTGTTGACTAATGTTTTGACTTTTATCAGAGGTGGTTTTTTTAGGTAGGAAATATTCTATAAACCGCCAAAAATAGTAATGTAATATATGCAAATGTAGTTTACTTTTAGTTTTTACCCATACTACATTCTATCAATAAAGGGTTAAACTAAAAAAAAAAACTTATATTTTCTTTTTTTCCCGGATTAAACCTTTATTTATTATATGAAAAAAAAAACTTGAATTTTTTCATTTTCCCCGAATTGGTCCTTTTAGTCATTTTTTACCAAAAAAATTGAGAAATGTAAGGTTTTTTTCGAGAAAAAACTAAAAAAGTTGAGGGTTTTTTTCGAAGCATTAAGAAGGTTGACGGTTTTTTTTTTGGAAAAAAAATACAAAGTTGAGGTTTTTTTCTGAAAAAATAAAAAAAAATACAAGGTCTTTTTCTGACAAAAAATAATTTTGAGGTTTAATCCGTATAAAAAAAATATAACGTTTTTTTTTAGTTTAACCCATTAATAAAAATTAAAATTATGTAACACATAAAATACGTTACCTATATTCATAGCAAAGTTTAAGTATGTTACTATAATGGATAAAAATGTAAGTATTCTCCTATTCTGTATAAAAAAGTAAAATACATTGCTATTACCTATAAGGAAACACAAGTGCATTGCAATTACATGTAAAATGTTATAATTAAGTATTTTTCATGTAATTATTTCAGATTTCAGGACTTCCACAGTTTTTGAACAACTCAGTTGTAAACTTAGCAGAAAAAGATATTGATATGCAAGCTATGACGACATGGTCTTCAGAGAAACCGCATGGACAAAAATGATATGGTTGAAGGTTGTTTTGTTTTCTGATAATATCTTATGAAGCTGGTCACTTCAAAAATAAATTTGTGGTCACAACTTCATAATTTTGAACATCAGCTGATTATGCAATTAATAGTTAATACACATAGGTGATTGATGATATCCAACTGTGATTACTTGGGGTATACGATTTTGATTTTGATTTTTATTTTGTACTTCCAATAGAAAAGAATAGATAAAAAAAATTTCTTTTAAACAATTTTACTATGAAAACATATATGAGGGTTCATAAGTTGACAACGGATGATGTGAAATTGAGAATTATATTGTGAAATAAAAGGTCGAAGGGTAATGAGTTGATCTGGTTATATAATAGAGATTTGATCTTATACCAATATAGATACTATACTTAATTTAGTTATCCATAATAGAAATCTACTTACACTCTTTTTAGTCCCATTTTATGTTGTAAGCATTGACATTTATGCTGGGTCCAAAAAGGTAAGTTTTTACACACATATACATGTACACATTATAGTTATATATGATTTGGTGTTGTATGTTTTTTACAGGCGGTACAGAAGATTTTGCGAATAGAACTGGAAACATTAGATGGAAAGACTTGAAAGTAGGTTGCTATAATACGTTTGTATGTTTAATGCATTTTGGTATAAATAAACTTTTGCTGTGTTAAAGTATCTTGCCTTTCTAAATATAATCTAGTGCTTCCTATGTAACTCGTATGAACACCCCTTTTATATATATGACATGTTTTAATAAATATTATAATATGTTCTATCGTTTCCTACAACTTGAAATAAGGAAAAAAAAAACACAGTGCCAAAGGCGCAGCTAATTTCCCTCTAGTTCTAATCAAGGGTGTAAATGTTGTTCCTTGGGTAATAGTAGTTTCTTTCAAGTTCCTTATTTTGATGGGTTGATGACTTATTTACATGTTTTAACAAGTCTATATAATCAAATAGATTAAATGAGTTATTCACTAAAATATCATACAGTATTTTATTTGAGTATACGCATATAGCCATATTTTCATATTTTATCACAAGATAAACATTTAAATTGCTAAAAAAACCTTTAAATTTGCATGGCTATTTTTTCTTCCAAATTACTCACTAATTTTGGCCTTGATTTTGCAAGTATACTCAAACTTACGAATTTTGAAAAAGAAAATCATGAGCATAAATTTTTTTTTTTGAAAGGAACTTCCCTAACGAGGGTTTCCAGGTCAGTTTTCGAGCACCGATTAATCCCTGCTGTAAACATGAGGTTTTGTCTCGTGCCCTAAAGTCACTGCAGACGAACATCCATGGTTACAAGGCTGAGTAGTGTCAGGATTTGAATATTGATAGTTTTTCGGGAGATGAAAATTCGCATCATTGGATAAATAAAAGTATTTAAAAAAAAACAATTAATTAAATGAATGAGAGTCTACTTGTCAATGTTAAACGATATTATTTTATAAAATAAAGCTTGAGTTTGCAATTGCGCATAATATGATGATCTTAAACTCCTTTAAAAAGAGGGATGTGCACCTGATTACCTTTCAAAGTGGGGGATATTGCACCCAAATCGACTTTATTCTGGTTCGTAAACAAGATCAATGAGCATGCATTGACTGCAATGTGTTTGTGTATGAGGTTTGTGCATCACAACATAGATTAATATAGTCATGGTCTTTCACTTGCGTAGGAGCCCACATAGGGGAGCGAAAGTAGCTAAACCTATGATTCTTTTGAAAAACTTAAAGGGAGCGGTAGTAGAGGATTTTAAGGACATGGTTATTGCATAAGGGGATATTGGAGCCACTCACACAACAAATGCAGAACTGTTATGGAATAATATGGTCGAAACCATCAAAGAGTGCCAAAAACACCCTTGGGATGTCGACATGGAATGTCAATGAGCATAGAGAATCATGGTGGTTGAACGAGGTACGAGCTAAGGTCAAGACAAAACAAACTTGCTTCAAAGAGCTTTTACTATGCAGTGAAGAAGAAAGAGTGAGGATAATCAAAAGATACAAGGACGCTAAAAGTGAAGCAAAGAAAACAATTGTTAAAACAAAGGTTACAGCATACAACGAAATGTACAAGAGATTGGGCTAAAAAAAAGAAAATGGAATCTACAAGTTCACTAAATCCACAAAGAGAGAGGGAAAAAGGACTTAGGAAACATAAAATATATTAAATATGACAACTAACAAGTTTTAGTGAAAGAAGAGGATATTAAGAGGAAATGAGACAGTTACTTCTATTCCTATTTAATGATGGTTCTTCGTGGTTTAGAGATAGGATTGTTGAGAGCATCCTTAGACGACCAATGGTTATCCCATCATTAGGATTGAGATCATTAGGATTGAGAGTGAGGTAGTGAAGATAACATTAAGGAGGATACGGAAGGACAAAGTCGTCGGTCCAGACCAAATCCTTATTGTTGTGCGGATGTGCCTAAGAGAAGAGGGAGTACGGTGGTTAACGAACCTCTTTAACATTATTTTGGAGTCAATTAAGCTATTATGCCAGAGAAGTAGAGATTTAATATTTTAATACGTTGATTGTTTTTATTTTTTAAATATTTATTTTAATTTTTTTTTGAAAATAAAAATGAAAAAAGTTAATAAAAAACTATTTTTTTGTTTTTTGTTATTCTTTATTATTCTATTTGTTTTTTATTTTTTGATCTATAAAATAAGGTGCTAGGATTTTGTCTCAAAAATAACCCATGGTCTCGTGTGTGTGTGTGTCTATATATATATATATATATATATATATATATATATATATATATATATATATATATATATATATATATATATATATATATATAGACACACACACACACGAGACCATGGATTATTTTTGAGACAAAATCCTAGCACCTTATTTTATACATCAAAAACATCTTACTACCGAGGTGACTACATCAAACATCTTACTACCATTTTCTTTTATCTCTCTCAAAATGGCTTCAAACAACTCTCCAAACAACCCACATTCTTGAACACCACCACCCCTAACATTTTCTCATATAATCCTTCGTCACCACCACCTTACCGCCCACAACTAGAAGCCATAATTTTCTCTTCAAACCCGATGTATAGTGGTGTTCCATCAATGTACACCCAATCCCAAATGTCACCACAACAATAATTTTTTTTCATAACAAATGTCATCACAAAACTTCACCCCATTTCCATACCAATCCCATCCGCCCAATACAAATCCCAAACCCCGTTTTGGCCCTAATACAAACCAATTTCAATCTGAAACCCAAAGTCCAGCTACTACAAAAGAAAAGGAAAGGAAGGGGAAAATGTAACACTGATTCTAGGTATATGCTTCCTTTGATTTCATGGCATTTGAGATTTTAATTTTTGAGGTTTTAGATGGCCACAACGTGGTGGGAAAGGCACCACGATGTGGCCTCACCCGATGCGAAAGCACATCATTTTGGACGCCACGACATGGCAAGGTCCATGCCATGACGTGGTGGCGACCATCATGCGACCCAATTTTTTTTGGATTTTAAGCCTTATTTAAGGGATGTGATGGCTAGGGTTTGCTCACCCTCACCTCCATCACCTCCCTTTCAAACTGAAGCAACCCTAGCCTCCAAATTTTACATCTTGAAGCTTTTTGGTAATTTTTGGTGGTGATGAAGATAAAGAAGGTGTTCTTTGTGCAGTTTCTTTATCAAAATGCACAAATTTTGGCTTGAAATTATTCTCAAAATTAAAAATAAACAACCCAAGACACCTCAAAACCATCTAAATTGATTCCCCTTTCGTAAATCCAAGTCTAGTCAAGTAATCCAACTTCAGAATCAACATATTCTCCACATTCAACACCAACAAAACACAATCTTGATAAGCCAATGACTTTAAATCCCGAAACCCAAATCTTTGAAGGTAAAACAGAGCATGTGGCAGGAAAGTGAAAACTGGAATAAGATCGTTGTTAATAGTGGATGTGAAGATTTGGGGGCACATAGTGATGATTGGAGGTACTTTTTGGGAAAAACAGTTCCACGTTACAAGATCAAAGGGTGTTGTTCGGTGACGACGAGGGTAGAAAGGAGAGAAAGGTTAGTGAAACACATAGATGGAAAGAGATAGGGCTTTCTTGTTTATTTAACCCGCCTCCATATCCGAACTAATTTGGTTTGAGATCCAATCGCAACAAGAAATCAGAGTGTTTTTGTTGTTGCTTTTTGAAGATACGAACCCATCTAGGAGCATGCAAATGGTGTTGAAGTTGTAGGAAACATAGACAGGGACGAAGAAGAAATCAGCCTCCAAGGGGTTTCTTCGTTCATAGATTTCAGATGAAGAACCCGAGAACCCATGAACTCGATCTAATTTTGTTCGTGTGTGTTCTTCATATCTAGGGTTCATAAATTTATTATTGAATGTGTTCATCCGAAAACCCTTCATCAAATCTGATTGCGTGTGTGTATTCATCAAACATGGGGTTTATGAATGTGTTTTTGAATGTGAGTGTGTGTTCTTGAGGTCTTGATGAGGCTTTCTGGTGATGATTTTTAGGGGCGAACTCAAGAACAAACCTAGATTTTGTGTATGGTTTTTGTTGTTGGAATGATTTTTAGGTGGATATGAAATGACAGAAAAAGTTTAGGTGGAGATGGAGATGGCAGACGTGGTGGTGGCAGACGCTCGTCGAACAATGGCGGTGGCGGAAGATATTCTTGAGTTTATGAAAATGTTTTGAGTGTTATTGAATTTATGAAGATGTTCTTGGGTATTTATCAAAGACAAACCCAAATAGATATATATATATATATATATATATATAGATATATATATATATATATATATATATATATATATATATATATATATATAGAGAGAGAGAGAGAGAGAGATTTCTTTTTTATTTTTCTTTTAATCAGAAAAGTATTTAAATAAAAAAAACTGAAAAAGAAAAAAAAATAAAAGCAAAATTGTCATTATAAAATAGTCTAAAATAAATTGGATTAAACTCACAACAAAATAAAAAATTTGAACCTTTAGGACTATTCAAAATATTTTTAGATCAAAATAACATTTTTGAGCTAACCATAGACATATTCTTGCAGTTTTGTCTTAAATTAATAAAATATTTTATTTATTTATTCATAGTTAATATTATAAACATTATATTTTGATGGACGTCAAAGATGACAAAAATAACACCCCTAGTAACTTTTTTCTCGAAGAAAGAGCAAAGAAACTCGAAAAAGCTTTTGGAGCCGTAATAGCAAGGTAGATCGGAGGCATCTCCATCGGCGATCCCTAAATTTGATTTCGTTAGAATTCCCCCCTGCAATGTCGTCATCATCATCTTCTCAACCCGCCGATGGGTAATTTCTTTGATTTCATGTATTTTGATCCATTAATTATAGACAGGCGAGGAAAAGTGAGAGGGTTTTACTGCTTCGTTCGTGTATTAATTCAATTGTTTCTGTTGATAATAATGTAGCGACGGTGTTTATATGCGACAGAGTAAAGGAGCTCCGTTTAAGTTTTTAGTTCCCCTGATTTATGCTCCTGTTCTTCCTCTCAGTAAGTTTATACAATTTATTGTCGATTTTTCTGGTTAGTTTAATTAAATTATAGTTCGATTGTAATATTTCTGCACGCATTGGGTTTTTCCAATTCCAATTATTTGCGTTTCTAAACATTGAATTTCGATAAATTGAAGATCGACATGATTCTAATGGTATCTGTAAAGCTTAAACTTTCATGGTGTTGTATTATGTCTGACATCAATTGTCTCATCCTGTTATTCCAAAAGGAAACGATTTGGCAAAATATTGAATGTGATTGTGAAGTTTGTGTTGATTCATTTAACTTCTTCATGGCTTGTGTTTAATCAGATTACGATTCTTTTTTCTGTTCAGTTCGACTTACATTGAGACACAAGCCAGTTTTGAGGGATCGATTGTTCACAGCAGTTTTGGTTGGGGCTGTTGCTCATGGAACTTACTTGGTGTATCCTTTTCTCTTCTTTTCTTTACACTGTTAAACCTGCTTTTGAAAGCTTGTTCTTATTTTAAGATGTTTGTTTTTGTTCTTTTATTGGCATGTAGTTTTTTTTTTCTTGACAAACATGTTCAGATCAGATCTTTATGACAGTGAGAGTAAATGAATCAGCAGATCATTTCACATGAAGCTTTCATGGAGTCATGGGTGTGGATCGAATGCAGTATTATGCTCTGGTATTAAATTGCATATGTTTATCATTCATTTTTGTTGGACTTAATTGGTAATTACTTCAGAACAAAATAAACCCGAAAAAAACTCAATATTATGAAACTTTAGGGATGAAAACTCAATATTCAAAGTTTCAAACAGTTTTGGATGATCAATTTTCTATCGTATCTTTTTGTTATATGATTCTTTATAAATGGGATGTGTTTTGTTTTTTACCCATAATAACAAGCTACTTACATTTAGCAATATATAACATGGAAAATTGTGAAATATACTTTATTTTTTACATAAATAAGAACGTACTTTCATTTCTATGCTATTACCTTGAAGAATGTTTTTGACTTTTTGAGGATTTTGTTGCTTCTACTTGTTTGTGCGCTTGAACTTTCTATATTTTGATTTATATCATGATTCATAGGCTGTTAGGATGTGTATGTTACACCGTAAGGAACAAGATTGAACTAGATTGAATTGGAGGGCATTTACGTCTTTTGCACAAACGATAGATTGAGAGTGCATCTTTGTCCCACCCTGTTCTACCTTTTTGGATGGGACAAAAGGTTGCAATTTTTGTCTCATTGACATCAGTTTCGGTCCCAATGCATGTTAAATGCAGTACAATGCTTACCAGTTTTGGTCCCAATGCATGTCAAATGCAGGACAATGCTTCCCAATTGCAGTACCTGTCATCATGGTCTCTCATGTCCTGTGTATTGTATGATTTAAAAATAATTAGGTGAAAAATAATGTAAGACATAATCAGTGTACAAGAAAGGGCTTCCAAATACATGAGGGTTGTTTATGGTTGACAATGATGCCAAATATAGTAGAAGAGTTATCTTAATGAGGATTTTCATCGAGCAGTTGGTGTGCACAAGATGATTCATCTTTTCATGAACTACATAACCACATTAAACCCCAATTTTTTAACTTTGGTCATTTATTGGGTTTCTTTGGGAGCTTTTTTTTTCATGAAAATGTTTGAAATGGAAAAGCTCTTTTTATTTCCAGGGCAACGGATTTTTGCAAATTGTTTTTCTGTGAGATGTTTGTATAAGTTGTCTATTTACAGTTTGTTGATAATCTATGAAACCTACCAAATCAACGAAGAAATTCATTACAAGAACTTATTGATTAGCATGCTTTTTGAAAAAATTTAGGTTTGAAAAAGCTTCTCTCGAATGAGCTATTTGAAAATAGTTTAATAAATTTCATTTTAATGTTAAAATGTTCAAATTAGCAACAAGGTCCCAAAACTTAAGTGTAACTTGTTAAACAAGATGTGAAGTTTGTTCTACCTTATGACTTACTCAAATATTCTATTATGAATACATGTCAAAATACATAAGTTGGGATTGGAAAGTCTAGTGAGCATTCACGGAGTCAACTCTTAAAGGTGCTGGATAAAGTCAACAATCCAATCCCAAAGTCAACCCCCTAAAACATTTTTAAAACATCAAAAGATTAGTATCAACTGTAACTCCCTTCCTTCAACTCCTAGTGATCGTGGATGATTACTAACATTTGAATACTTGTTTTAAACACTAATTAACATCTTAACATCATCATTAATTATCCAATGATTTACAAGCTATGAATGAAGATCAAATGTATTTAGATCAACATTAACAAAAAGGAGTTCGTAAGCTTCATTTTAAAGAGTTAATCATCAATAACTGAAAGTAGGTTCCAAAGTTGTGATTCTAAATGATAATTCCAAACTAGATTAGTGAAATGAATTAATAAACAAACTAATCAAGCCAGTTCATATACAAAATTACAAATCTAGATTCAAAATCATCATAAGAACACATGAACTCCAAGCTTAACGTAAAATCATTCAATTGACTAAATAGAAGTTGTTAGCCTTATTATTTGGATTGATCAACTTAATTTGAGAATACAAAACATAATTGTAAGCCAGCTAAGATATCAATTTCGCTTTTCCAAAGCTCTAAATAAAAACTTCACTAACATAGGGTTTATGAGCTTCAAAACAAACTCATAAATTGAACTTTAAGCAACATCAAAGGATGTTGTTGTAGATTAATAAACAATTGATTAAATCTTAATTAGGACTTTATTTTAATGCCTAATCATCATGGCATTTCAAATTTGAAAATAAAATAAAATCCTAGAACACTAAATTGGAGAATATAAATGAAGATTATTACCTTCCTAAGCTCGTTTTAGTGATTAAAGCACCAAACTCAAGATCACTTCAAATGATCTCCATTCCTCCTTCAACTCTCAAAAACGTATCCCAAAGTCTCTCTTCCAAGCTGTAGATCGATCCAAACGAAGAGAGTTGGGAGGTTTCAGTGTTTAATTCAAAAGTTTGCAATTTTGGCAACTTTGGTCCCTCAGTTTCCAATTTCTCCCATTTAACTCTAAATTGTCCCAAACTTATCTACTAGCTTTTATGTTACTAAATCAACCCTATCCAGTTTATTTCTTAACAATATTAATCTTTTTTGAGATTAAGTGAGTTAAATAAGAGTTGAACATGAGTTTTTCTTATTTTTAACCTAGTCAACTCCAAATTTCTTACACTTTGACTCAATATTTATATTTTATCAATTAAAATTATTAGATTTATTTTATTTATCATTCTTTTTATTATCTTATTGTTTTAAAATTATTAGATTTATTTAAATTGTTTTAAGTTGCTTTTAAAAATTGGGTGCTATAATATTTATGTCCTTCCATATTCCCTAGTGTTGGGATGTGCATCTTGATAAGATAGTTTGTTACTCATTGCCCTATTGCACATCACAAGGATGATGTTTGGGATGGGCATTCTCTTTGCACATATATCACTGAACAACCAACCCATATCAATATTTTTATATATAACAATGACATTTTATACCAAGTAACCTTTTCCCAAAAACTATGACATCTTTAGAAAAATTACAAAATAAACTTATGTATAAATCATCAGTTAATTTAGGATAAAACCTGTTTTAGAAAAAAAAAAAAAAAAAAAAAAAAAAAACAAAGGATTAACGATTATAATTTATAATGCTTATAATATAAGAAAGTGATAATATGTGAAGAAAATAACCATGCTCGTGAAGATAAAAAGTGATATAACATAAAGTTGAAAAAAATGAAATATTTCCACGCGTGGCGAAATAATAACCAGTTCCATGTGACGACCAAAATGTCATAATCTGTTATAACAAAAATATTAACAAATTTGGTCTTAAATTTAAAGGTTAATTGTAAGAATTGTCAGCAAATATTATTTCAAAATTTAAATTTACTCGTAATGAAAATATTTGATTTTTATAAAGGAATACGGAGTATTATCTACGATAATTTAATCCAATTTCGTTATCATTCTTTAGAAAAGATCATGAACGGGCCAAACGGCAAAAGAATAACAGGAAAATTAAATCATAATTATATCTGATTTATGAAAAAGAGATAGAATTTAATATCGTTCTCAAATTTACTCAAAAAAATCTAGCTTTAAGGTTTACGTTGTCGTTAGTCGCTAATAATTGAAAATGTCCAGGTTGCCTCCATGTGTCAAAATTGATATGCTTTTGGAAATAAGTAAATTGTATTGATAGATCAATAGATACATGAAGATACGCCACTTGTTTGGTTGGTGTACTGAATAGAAAAATAATATCGAGAATATCACTTGAAGCCACATTTTTATCAAGTAAAATCTGGGAATGGCGATTCTATGAAGAAACCCTAAAAAGATTTAGACTAATTTGAATTCTAAATTAGATAAGTTAAAATCTTTGATTCATAATTTTTAAATAGTTTTTTTAGAAATTAATTTTATAAAAAAAACTTATATATTGGGTTTTTTTCAGATTAAACTTCACCTTATTATTATTTATTTTTTTCTAAATCTTTGATTCAAAATTTTTAAATAGTTTTTTTTAGAAATTAATTTTATAAAAAAACCTTACATATTGGGTTTTTTTCGGATTAAACCTCAACTTATTTTTTTCATAAAAAACATTGCATGTTTTCATTTTTTTTTATTTGACCATTTTAACAGGTTACCAGCATTCTTCTGGTTTTAAATAGTTTTTTTTTATAGAAAAACCCCTAAAAAAATTTGAAAAAATCCTAACATTTAACAAATATTTTCTTTTGAACCAAGTCATAATGTCATTGGAAATGCTTACTAAAGAATAATCATTGAGAATAAATTGACAACATAAGGTTGAACGCGTATATGTGAGTTTACAAATATCATATTTTATATTGGTATTCTGTCACACCCCCAAACCGGAGCGGCGGAAGCGTCCGGTAGTGGATGACTTCATGTTAAGTATTACAACACATGCATCATAGTAATCAAAGTGCAACAACTATTGCATTAATAATGAATAAGTTTTACATAGTGTTCAAGTCATCGTATATATGACATCAAAAGTTATATAGCAAAAGATAGAAGACATGCCTCTATACTACTCCGTCTTCTCAAAATCCTGGGAATGTACCTGTCCACTGGTTCCCTGAGAATACAAGTATTTTTGAAAAAGAGTATCAATATTTAAGTTGGTGAGTTCATAAGTAATTATGTTTAGAAGTTTGCTATTTGTTTCTTGAAATAGTAATCATGTTTATTGTTCCAGAAAATCCAATATTTTCTAATATAACTGAAAAATAGTTTTAATACCATAAAACTGTTCTATGTAATTGTTTTTGTACTATAAAATAGTGTAACATAGTTTTAGTTCACAATAAAACTATAAAAAAGAAATATTTTCTGTAATGTTTATGTAACTAGCATGTTGTAATTGAATTCTTTGAAAACCCCGTAATTGTGAGTGTGCCTGGTTTCACCAGCTGTAATTGTAAGTCGTAGTATTATACTGTAAATCGTATTGTTGTAAAACCAGTACGTTGTATTTGTACTCTTTGGTTTAATTATTCATACACTAATCGTATTGTTTATATCTTTTTGTGAGTTATTATATAATCATACTAAGACTAGTAAGCCTGATACAACGCTTTACGGGCGTTAGAACTGTAACGACATTTGTCACTCACAAGCATACCGGCCTAACTGTAGCGAACAGTATGAGTGCGGGATTATCAATCTCATATAGATTTATACACATTTGTCTCGCTCTCTGTCGGGAGATTCTGGTTATAATTATCAGGTCTTTAATAGTATTGCTTAAATAATTAAGCGAGTGAACTTTGTCTCACAAAAACCATATTGACAATTACGTATATAATAATGATAAAAAGTTATTCTGAAATAAATGAACTGATAGTATGACCTTTTTCTTGTATACGTGAATGTAAAGTATTTGTACGAGGGTATACTGTTAAACTTTGGATAACTGACTAGTGAAAATAGTATGAAAGTTCCATAAATTATACCTATTATAATTTACTAGTTGTGTTCCCGTGCAAAGCGACGACGACAAATAGTTTTCGGACGTTGATTAATTTATTTCGGTGAATAGTTTCATTGCGGCTATCAGATTAAACCATAAAAACCTTTAAGTATAACCAATTTACAATATTGATAATTCATTCCTTTTTACAATCCTCAGACGTTGATATATCATTTATGTATCACTTTCTTGCAAATTGCAATTAATTACTCATTCATAATGTTAACTTCTAATAACCGTAACATCTTAACTTGTTTCAAAATTTTGACCGATTTGGTGGGTTATAGGGTTGTAATAATTCAATCTGATTTTTTATTTTCAATCTATTTTAAGTTGTTTTTGTAGACTTGAAACCATTTTAATTTATAAATTTAACGTAAATGTTTATCAATTTATTTGTTTATTATAGTATTTTACTTTTATTTTTTTAACAATGTGTTTTTCAATTTTTTTTATTATTACCTCTCCGGAAAATCCTATGTTGTGATGACAACCACTGGAACGTATCTCACCCGCATTTAAGATTTTCAACCTACTAAATATACAAACACCATGATACAATGATTATATGTTTGATAATAATTATTGATTTTAAAATGCTTCATTTTCTTCAAAAAAAAAAATTTGTTTAT